AGACTTGCCCAAGGTTTTGCTCTGCCTGGAATTGAACCCAGGTGTCTTGCTTGCAAAGCAAGTGCTCTAACCACTGAGCTACAGGACTCCACAAGCAAATATAAGCAAGCTGAGAAAATAGTCAGTAGTTCAGGCAGCAACCATGTGCACATTCAAAAGAAGACTGGACACAGAGAGAACAAAGTTGAGGGATAATGGGGAAAGAGCCAGAATATGGGCCTTGGAATAGGAACTAGGATGGGCACTTGTTTAGAGTTCAACCCCTGGCCAGAATGGCTAATAATAATAATAATAATAATAATCGTTGCACTTGGTATGGTGCCTATCACATCCAGAGAACATCCCACTGCGCTTCACAGAATATATTGTAAAGTGAATTGACTGTATATTTTGTGAGCGAAACCCGGCAACCAAATTGAGCACAGCAAGTGGGCCGTATGGCCTGTTTGTGAGCTGTACATTCTATAAATCTATGTGCTAACAAATGCACAAAATCACCAATCATCACATAAATTGACAACTAATGGGAAGAATGATAGAATCACCTGCAAATGGATTTCCTTGGCTGGTGAGGGTATAACTAGGACACCTGCAATTCTCTCTGTGTTCTGCATACTGTGCATACTTTTACACATAACAACAATACTTGCATTTGATATAGCAGTTTATCAGGTCATCAAGACATCTCGAGATGCTTAACAGGATACCCTGTTCGAGTGCCAGTCCAGACTGAGCTTAAATTCCCTATGTGGAGCTCAAACTCACAATCTGACTGAGTCAGAGGTAAGAGTGCTACCAATTGAGCCTGGCTGACACAAGCTTTTACAAGTTTGTATAGTAGACCCCTAGAATGTGTTTAGTCTCATTGAAATTGTATGTGACATACATGCATTGTAATGAATCCATACATATCTCCCTGCAGGCTATTATGCTTTTTAAAGGATTGACATTTCATTTTCGAGTAAATATTGAAACAAGCCAAGCCCTGATACATCCTGTCACCAGCCGTTTAAAATCGTTTTGCAATTCTAATGTTATACCAAAGCTAATCTCCTGTCAGTGTGATTGTATTAATATCAATTCAATATTTTCATAATATACTAAACCCTAAATCAAAGTGTCGTGATCACTTTTAGAAGCCATTCGATAGTTTCATAAAATATTAAAATCTGGAGGCTCTCTGATAATGATTTACATTTGTAAAGCGCTTTTCAAGTTGGGACGACATCCCAAGACGTTGGACAGTTAGGGATTTTGACCTGAGCTGGGGGTGGAGGGGTGGAGGGCAGAGAGGGTAGGGGTAGGAGGGTGGCCAAAGAGGAAGGTCTGGAGACGAGCCTTGAAGGAGGCAAGGGAGGGAGCAAGGCGAAGGGACTGTGAGATGGAGGTTCAAAGAGTGGGGGCAGAGAGGCTGAATGCCTGACCACCGATGGAGGGGCGAGCCGGGTGGGGGACTTGATGTAGGCCAGAGCCTGCTAAGTGGAGGGACAAACAGATTAAAATTTGTGTCTATTTTTAATGTCACTTTGCAGCTGGCATAGTGTCCTAGCCGACACTCACTTCATGACTATTATATTTGCGGACTTTGCTGTTTGCAAATTAGTTGCCGCGTTTGCCAACAAAATACACAGTCACTACAATTTACAGAGAACTGCTGTGAAGAACTTTGAGGTGTCATCCTTACACATGCAAAGATTAGCACCATTGTAAAACCTAAACCCAAACTTTCAAACAATGGGGTTTGAATTGTGCGGCACTCATGAAAAGACTGACCTTGAGAATTTTCTTCACTATTTTCTATTTTAAGACAATGGACTACAGTAACAACAACAACTTGCATTTATATCGTGCCCTTCACGCTAAGACTAAGGCCAACATTGTGAGAGAAAATCAGAATCGTGGCATTTAATAGTTCACTTTATTGATCCCATTAGTTCTCTGTAAAGATCCAGTGACTGTATACATAATAATAATAATAATCCTTGCATTTGATATAGCGCTTTTCACGTCAGGAGGATGTCCCAAAGTGCTTCACAGAACACACTGTAAAGTGAATTGACTGTATATTTGTGGGCGAACGCGGCAGCCAATTGCGCACAGCAATGTCCCACAAACAGTCGTAGATTGAAAATGACCAATTTATTGTTGTTTTTGGTTTTGGAGGGATTATTATTAGGCTCTGTGTGGAGTAAGGAAACTTGCCCAAGGTTTCGCCCTCTGCCTGGAATTGAACTCAGGTCTCTCGCTTGCAAAGCGAGTGCTCTAACCACTGAGCTACAGGACTCCACATGCAACCAACTTGCGCACTGGTGTACTGGTGTACTGATAGACTTTTTGCCATCGTCCCGGTTATCCCACAGATAAAATCAGTCACTCACTTTATGGCTATTATGTTTGCGGGACATTGCTGTGCAAAGTGACACTAAAATAAGCATGAATTTGAATTTGTGTCAGAGAGCCTGTAGATGTTAATATTTTATATATTTTAATATGCAGTGTCCCACAAACAGCCATGAGGGGAATGACTAATTTTTAATCCAAGGGATCATTTGGAGTCCCGTAGGCTAGTGGTTGGAGCACTCGCCTCGCAAGTGAGAGGACCAGGGCTCGATTCCCAGACAGGATAAACCTTAGGCAAGTTTCCTTTCTCCACACACTTCTGTTTACCTCACAGTAAGTAGGAACCTGCTTGTTAGTTAATTGGCGGATCGCTTTCCAGGGGTAATAAGCCTTCCAAAAAAGAAAAAAGATACACAACTGTTTGTGGGACACAAGGGTCAACCATCAAGAGATGATTTAAGAGCTTTATGATGTCCTCCCGACATACAAGATCCTACATAAATGTATAGTGTATTGTAAGACTGAAAATGGAAATGAAGATGCAACAATAAAACAGCCACTGAAGTTTAACTTTTTTTTCCTTCTGTGTTTCTGTCCGTTCCATCGGCTCAGCAGGCTCCGGCCTCCTTTGTGTCCCCTGCCCGGCCTGCCCCACCATTAGCAGCTGGACCATCACACAGTCCCTCAGCATCACCCTCTCCCTTACCTCCTTCAAGGTCCACCGCTCCTTCGGTCACCCTCTACCACTACCCTCTCTGCCCTCCACCCCTTCTGATTTCAACCCCCAGCTCAGGTCCAAATCCCTGACTGTCCAGTGCCTTGAGGGTGGGGGGTCCTCCCGACGTGAAAGGTGCTATATAATTTTGTTGTTGTTGTTGTTGTATACAAATGTAATGTGTTATTGCTTTAACAGACACAATGACACCACGGACACAGTATCAGACCCTTCAAACAGTTAATGGAGAATTCTTAGGCTAAAGATTTTAGTCACGTCAAAATGATTAGGAAGATGCCATCGGCTTAGCAAAAGGAAATTAACCATTGTATAATTTTCATTAAGACCCAGAACAATCCCATAGAACCAAAGAGATCTGCCTCACAGCAGGAGGCCATTGTATTAACATCAATGTTTATGGCTACGATGAAATCCCATTTCCCTGCTCAATCCCTGTTCCCTCTAATACTCTTTCTCTGCATCCAATTCTCTTTTAAAAGCCCCCAATGGACTCCACTCCAACAGCCACTCTTGCAATGTTTTTCCCCTTGGTTAGCCGGGTGTCTGACGCACACATCCACAACAAATTGCATTTATATTGCGCCTTTCACATTGGGACGACATCCCCAGGCGCTGGATAATGAGGGGTTTGCACCTCAGCTGCAAGTTGGGATCAAAGAGGGGTGGAGGGTAGAGGGGGGTGGAGGAGGGAGGGTGACCGAAGGCACAGTTTGTGGAGGATGGAGTTCCTGATGTTGGGGGCAGAAAAGCTGAGACCCGACCACCGATAGTGGAGCAGGGAGGACCGGGAATGTGGAGCAAGCCAGTGCCTAGAGAGTGGAGGAACAAACAGATTGGTGAAGTTTTAATAGGTTACAGAGGTAGGGTGGATTGAGACCATGGAGGGCTTTAAAGGTGAGGACAAGGATCTTGAACTCAATTCTCTGGGGAATAGGGAGTCAGTGAAGCCGGGCGTAGATGGGGGTGATCGGCTCATGAAGTTCAGTGGGGGAGAGGACACACAGAAACCCATCAATGGGATTTAAAGTGTCCAAACCAAGCTACTAGGAGTTACATAAATGGATGGTTTCTGTTTTTCTGGTGTGGAGTATGCATTTTCACTCAAGGTGGATTAACAGCATTGACTTCGGACAGGAAGAATCCCAGCTCCCACTCCTGTCAAATCATTCCATACTCTGAATACTCACGATGATGGCTCTCTCAGTCCTACTCGCTCCCCATCTTCCAAAGGATTGAGTTCTAGATCCTTATCCTCACCTTTAAAGACCTTCATAGATTGGTCCAGGGAAAGTTTTTTGAGGATGGAGGTGATGGTAGCTGTTTTTAGGGGGATGGGAACAGTGCCAGATGATAGGGAGAGACTGCTGATGGTTTTGGAGAGTATTGGGGCGAGCGAGTAGCTCAATTTTGGACTCAAAGAAATCCAGCATCTCCTCACAAGCAGAGCTTGAGGAGAAAATGGACGAGGCATGGAAGGGTGGACCGAAGAGTTGGTTGGTGGTGGGCGAATAGGAGCCTGGGGTTGTCCTTCACCTCCAAAATCATCTTGGAGTAGAAGGATGATTTGGTGGAGGCGAGGGTGGAGCGGTACATTTTGATGTGGTCCAGCCAGATCTGTCCGTGGACAGTTAGGTCAGACTTGAGCCAGGTGCATTCGGCCGCCCTCACCTGACCCTTGAGAGAGTAGAGGTGGCTGGTGTACCAGAGGGTACCAGCCACCCAGATTAACAACCGACTAACAATTATATTATTATACATTGAACTCTCAGTCTAGTTTGGATACTCCTAAACATAGGGACAGGTTTCCACATGAAGACACCCAGGTGACTAAAAAAAACACATCTCTCATGTGTGTCACGTCTCTGATGCCTGTTACGTCAAAACAGCCTCAAAGTGTCAAATTACAACACAAATGAAATCCAAATTGCGTCAGTGATTTCTTTTTAATGTACGTTACTGGTCTTCAACAAAGCGGATTTTTTTAAAATAAAAAACATCACATTTTCGATATGCCCCAAACTCGTCGGTAATTATAGATTAATAAGCAAAACAAATCACATTGAAGAATTACAAATGGTCTGCAAAATGCATAATTGAGACCCAAATATGAAATGACATCCCCATCAATTTTTTTGGGTCTGTAACAAAGATCTATATTCCCTGTATTTTCTGTATGGAACTATTGTCGCTTTAACATGCAGTATTTTCATATCCCCACAGACAACACAAACTGGGTCACACATGCAACGCTCTCTCTACGTCTCCCAACAACATTTTAAGAAGGCGGGTCCCTGGAGTGGGAGTCATCCAGTGGATACATGTTTGAGAAAATGATTTCACCGTCACTTTGTGATGGTTCCTTCAGTGTACTTCTCTCCTGGGTTCAGACCGTAACACAACGTGCCTCCTTCCATACTGGCCCACGCCATTTGTTTGGTGGTAAACTTTGCCGTCCATTCCCCTTGGGCACTGATGACAATGGCTCCGCCACACCCAGCGACCCTTTCTTGCATGTGCAAGAGAGCTTTGTCAGCAGCTTTTCCTGGACTTGCCCCTGGTCGAGAAACATAGGTATTTTTTGGTTGAAAAAATGCGGTTAGTTCCACTTAACCATAATATGTATTAATAATAATAATCCTTGCATTTGATATAATGCCTTATCACATTGTCAAGACAACAACAAGATTACATTTGTATACAACAACAACTTGCATTTATATGGGTCCATAACTCTGTCTGTCCAGTGCTTTGGGTCGTCTGCCCGACGTGAAAGGCACTATACAAATGTAATTCTGTTGTTGTTGTTGTATATAGCACCCACCATGCAGGATAGTGTTCCAGAGCGCTTCACAAGATGTATTGTAAACTGTAGTGATTGTGTATTTTGTGGGCGAAACGCGGCAGCCAATTGCGCACAGCAGTGTCCCACAAACAGTCATGGATTGAGTGCACCTTGTGTAAGTGTAAATTGTGGCAATTCAACAACAATAATAAATCACACTTGTATATTGCCTTTCATGTCAGAAAGACATCCCAGGGTGCTGGACAATCAGAGGTTTTGGACGCCAGCTGGGAGTTGGGATCAGAAGGGGAGGAGAGCCAGTGAGGTGAGGGTGGGAGAGTGGCCACAGGCACGGTCGAAGAGGAAGGTCTTCAGACGGGACTTGAAGGAGGCAAGCGAGGGTGTGAGGGATTGTGGGATAGGGTTCCAGAGTGTGTGGCCAGAGATGCTGAATGCCCAACCACCAATCATAGGGCGAGAAGTGCGGAGGACCTATAACACACCAGGGTCTGCTGAGCGCAGGGAGCGGACAGGCTGATATGAGGTTATGAGGTCAGAGAGGTAGGGGGAAACAAGATCATGAAGGGCCTTGAAGGTAAGAACAAGGGCTTTGTACTCGATTCTCTGAGGAATGGGGAGTCAGTGAGGCCGGGCAAGAATGGGGGTGATAGGTTCCTGGAGCCTGGTGCGGGAGAGGATATGAGTTGCAGAGTTCTGAATAATCTGCAGCTTGTGGAAGGAAGAGTTGGGAAGTCCAGTGAGCAGGCAGTTGACATGGTCAAACCGGGATGTAATGAAAGCATGGATCAGGGTCTCGGCAGCCTGTGGTGAGAGGCAATGGCGGAGACGGGCAGTGTTGCGGAGGTGTGGAAAGGCAGAACGGGTCATGGCACGAATGTTGGGTTTAAAGGATAGCTGAGGGTCAAATAGCTCACCAAGGTTTCGGATTTACTCGGTGAGGTGAAGAGTGCAGCCATGAATGGTGATAATGTCAGCGGCTGAGGTGGGGAGGTGCTGCCAGGAGCCAAGCAGGAGGGCCTCTGTCTTGCCAACATTGAGCTGGAGGAAGTTGACTCTCGTTCAGGACTTGTTGTCAGCCAGACAATTGACCAGGACATCAATGGTCCTGGAGTTGATGAAGGTAATATGTAGCTAATAGCTTTCAGGCCTGAAATTCCACCTGGTCTCAGCTGGTAAGAACACTTTTTTTTCTCTCTTAAAATTTAAGATCATGCAGAATTGTTGCAAATTCTTAAAATTCAGCTCCAATTTGAAAGAAGGTTCTCCTTAAAAACCGCAGGGGAACTATCTTACAGCCTTAAGGCTGGGTAGAATTTCGGGCCGTTGATCTTAAAGTATAGGCCGTTTTGAGGCAGTCATGTTGATCTTTTGATTTCAGAGCCTATTTCTGCTCAGAAGCTGGGGTTCAGCCTGGCTCAGTTGGTAGCACTCACTTCTGAGTCAGAAGCTAGTAGGTTCATGTCAGGACTTTACTGAGCTCATAGTCTAGGCTAACACAACAATACGGTGCTTTAGGAGAACTGCGTGGTTGGAAGTGCCATGATTCAGATGAGAAGTTAAACAGAGGTCCCATCTGCATGTTCAGAGGATCTTTAAAGATTGGAGGTTCACGTACTGCTGGAGTTTAATCAGCTAAAACCACATAGATTACCATTGATAGAAATGTCTGGCAAGCTTTCCCACTGTTTCTCCAACTAGGACCACCCTACCTGTTAGGGCTTTGGCTTGCAGGGTTAACAGCAGCTGAGTGGGAGGTTCTGGTCTGACCTTCCAAGTCCTGCCGATGAGCCAGGCTGGGTGTGCTGTCATCAGCAGTGCCTTGGAAGACTGTGGACCCTCCTGGCTCAGGAACCAGACTGGAGACCACCACAGAGAGCTGGGGTCTGTACTGCTAGGAAGTTATGTCGCTTGATGTATTCAGCGGTATGGTGGTGGCAGGCTAGGTTTGCCTTTGTCATGTCATTCGTTGGTACAAGTGGTGGGGGTGGGGGGTAGAGAGGAAGGAGGCTAGCCCAGCGCACACAGTTCTTATGATTTATTTGCAGCTGTCTGGAAGCAGGGAACTGAAGCGGTCTCTGGTGCCAGCGGTTCCTTTGTAAGGCACAGAACAGCAGCATAGTAACCAAAGATCCAAATCCTCAGATCATCCTCATCCTTAAGGAACACACGTCAAATCTGTTCCCAAACACCCAACAGAAAGTTTGCATTCTGAAGAGTCTCTGCACTGTTTCACTGTGTGGTGTGAATTGCAATAATGTCCACAATGTTCTTCCCACCATCCCCCCTACACTCCACTCTCCTACTTACTGCTAGGTAAACAGAGGCGTGTGGTGTCCCACAAACAGCCATGAAATGAATGTCCAGTTTTATTTGGTTGAAGCGGTAAGTCTTAATGAAGGTAAGATTTAAAGTAACCCCTGGAATCTCCTACCTCCTTGGACAAAACCACTTCAACCTTGCTATACTGTTTGATACACTGCAAAAAAGCTATCGATGTCTTCACAACTACAAAGCTGTTCACCTTCCATCAGTTAGATTCTCTGCAACAGAATCCCACGCGCAATAGACTCCTTGACACTTTTACTTCAGAAGAAATATGCACTGGCAAACAGATAGGTAAGTGCAGGACTGTTAAATCCCTTCATTGCTGGCGATAGCTTAATGAACCCTGACCGTCAAGATCAGTGAACCTTCAGCCCCCTGAAGTGGAAATGTCTCATGAGAGGTCCATCAATTATTGGGTCTGGTCTAAATTTAGCAAGACACTGCTCTCACGCAATCAAACCCATGTTACTTAGCCAACAAGGTTCGAAAAGCCACAATTCCCCTCTGTTTGGTACTCTGTCTGTAATGGAGACTGATAACAGAAGTGATAGCAGATGAAACGAAAAGATAGCTCACCACAGCTGACATTGGGTGAAACGCAGCCTGCTATTGATTACTGTGGTGGTCTGAATACGGCAGGCTGTTTCAGAGGACTTTGGTGAGGTGGGTAGGGGGGGGAGGGGGTAAGGAGAAAGGTTGTGTTTTGTAGGCGGTGTTTTGGAGAGCAGTTGATAAATTGTCATGACATTTCTGTGAGGAGGAGGAAGGGCAGGGAGGATGAAGACAGGCTCTACTCGTGCGAATGAGAGCTGAAGAAGACATTCGATGAAGGGAGAAAAAGGTGCGATTCAAAGAAGGCAAGCAAGATGTTCACAGACGCACCGAGGCAACAAAACACGAGGACACATGTTCACAGTTGCAAATGGCAATTTCAAGAGAGATTTCATTCTCAGGTCCCTCCGAACCGCACCCTCACCTCATTCAAAGCACGTTTCAAAACGCATCTCTTTAGCTGCGATTTCGGTCACAATAATAATAATAATAATCCTTACATTTGATATTGCGCTTTTCATGTCTTCTAGACATCTCAAAGCGCTTCACAGAATATAGAGTAAAGTGAATTGACCGTATATTTGTAGATGAAATGCGACAGCCAATTGCGCACAGCAGTTTCCCACAAACAGTCGTGGATTGAAGTGACTAAATTATTTTTTAATTTTTTTAAAAAAAATTTCTTGAGGGATTATTATCAGGCATGTGGAATGAGGTAACTTGCCCAAGGTTTCAGCCTGCCAGGAATCAAACTCAGGTCATCTTTCCACCCCCACCCCTCAGCACCCACCTCCAGCTTGAATGCCCATCCAGCAATGTTAAAGGTGCTACAATGTTAAAGGCCCTCCACGGCTTTGCCCTTTCCTACCAAAGTGACCTGCTAACCTCTTATCAACCTGTCCGGGCTCCCTCCACTTAGCAGGCTCTGGCCTAATCCACATCCCCTGCCTTATCCATCCACCATCAGCGGTCAGGCCTTCAGCCTCTCCACCTCCACCCTTTGGAACTCCATCCCACATTCCCTTCGCCTCGCTTCCTCCCTTGCCTCCTTCAAGGCATGTCTCAAGACTCTCCTCTTCGACCATGCCTTCGGCTACCCTCCTACCCTCCCCGATCCCAGCCACCCCACACCCCCAAGTTCGGGTACAAATCCCTGACTGTCCAGCACCTAGGGAGGTCCTCCCGATGTGAAAGGCGCTATACAATTTGGTATTGTATTGTACATAAATATAAATTGTACTGTACTGTACCTTTCCCATTGGAAGGACATGTCAAAGTATTTCACAGTAAAGTGTAGCGATTTTGTAGGCGGCCACAGCAGCCAATTTGTGCACAGCAATGTACAGTTTATGATCGTGAAGTGAATGATCAATCTTGTCTGGGGAATTGTTGGCCAGAACGCTGGGAGAAACTCCATTCTCTTTACAAGTAGTGCCATGGGATCTTTAACATAACCATCCTTGCATTTGATTTTGCATTTGATACAGCACCTTATCACGTCTTTGAGATGCCTGAAAGCGCTCCACAGAATATACCGTGTATTTTGTAGGCAAAACATCCACCAGAAGAGGTAGAGGTTCCAGAAACTGGGGAAACGCTGGCTGAAAGCTGAGCTTTCTATTCCTGTTTCCAGGTTATTGGATAAAAGATCAAGACTAGCTTGAAATCTTTTGTCATAAAAATTGCAAGTCCACAGACAAAGAAAGCAGTAGATCTTCATGGCACCACAATGAACAAAGTGAAGATGATTATCTTTGACCTTTAAAATATCACGAACACTGAATTATGTTAGAATAGCTTTTCAATAACAATAAGAATTCTTGCATTGGATAAAGCACCTTAACATGTTCAAACATCTCAAAGCGCTTCACAGC